ATTTTATTTTTTTACTTTACGAATATCAAACACATTGAGTGATATTAAGATATTGTTCATCAAAATGTTTAAATTGTTAGAAATAAGTCAACTAAGAAAATTGGCATGCCTATTCATACATATATTACATTTGTTTATCTGTTTTATATATATGCTCAAATTAAAAATGGTCCGAAATCTAGATAATTTTTTTATATGTATAGTACACTATAATACACAAATGATAAATAAATATTATAAATGCTAATACAGTAGACTCCTGTTAATTCAAATTTATATAATTTGAATTCCATCTTAATTTGAACTGCACTGCACTAGTCCCCATTTGATTCCTATTTAAATTAATGTAAAATTCACTTGGTAATTAGAACTCAATTGTGCTGCCTCCTGTTTATTCAAATCAAGAGTATGTGTTAGTAAGTTAATATCATCCTCCCATTTTTGAAATTTAAAGATCAAAATTAAAATTAATAAATTAAAATTTAAAAACACTTGAAATCAGTTGGTGCTTGATTAGGATGGTTTACAGTTGTTGATGTGGCACTTGCTTCTTCATTCCATTCAATGCACTACTGTACCTTTGTTTTGTATTTTTCATTGATTAAGCATTATTCTGCTTGTTATGTGATGTTAATGTATTGTTAAAGATTTTATTTTTGTAGTATTCAGAAATGGCCTTTTTTTAATTAGAACTACTTAAGCTGTCCTTCTGAGTTTGAATTAACAAGAGTCAACTGTATATGCAAATAAAAAATAATTAATGCATTTTTTTAATATAAAGAAATTTTCAATATGAAAGCTTTTTGAAATTTCTTATATCAAATATGAATTATGTTAACTTAATACATCTACATTTCACCAATTTGTAATATACTTTTCTATTCATGTTTTAAAAATTAATGCTTGACTTTTGAAAATAATTAAGCAGATAAATTTTGATTTATAAGAAAATAATATATATTTATATATAATACATATCAAATTATGTAATATTAAAAAGTTAGGTTATAATAATTGTAAAATTTGAAAAGTTAAACACTTTATAATCTTTACCTCCTGTAGAGTGCTTATATATATATAAAAAAAAATGACATTATAAAATTATATTTCATGAATTTTTACTAGAAATTGACATTTAACAAAGGAAGAATAGATTCAATGCAATTTTATTCTATTGAACAGAAAGATTTTTTCTTTTTAGCAGATTTACTTAATAATGCTCAATATGTTTTTTTTTTTTTCAAATATTAATTCCTGTTGTGGTAGTATAATTTCATATTATTAGATTCTTTTATAAACATTTTATTGAAATTCATCTATATGTAAAAAAATTTATTAAAGAAAGAATGCTGTTTTTAAAGCCATAAGCTTGACTTTAAAAATTTAAAAAACATCTTAAATTATACAATAAACCAAGCCTGAATTATCTATTAGTAATCAAATAATAATGCCAGATTTATTCTCAGGCTATAATCTGGCTAATTAAATATAAAGATATTATGTAAATTTGGACTAGAGATCAATGATTAAGTTGCCATTTTGTATTCAATTTAATAATTTGAATTAAATTAATTAATTTAGAATATTCTAAAAGAAATAGATTAATCAAAAATGGAATTAAATCTGCAGCTTTTGCTTACCATGCAGATTATTACCAATTATGCTACCTGGATCTCTATCCAATTTTTGCTTCTAACCCAATTAATTTAGATATAATCATACAAGTCACTCCAAATTACATATATTTAAGTAGCCATGTTATAACATGCTAAAGAATTTGGAATTATTGTTTAAACTACTTAATTTTTTTTTTTCTGAAAAAAAATTATAAAAAATACTTCTCTTAGATTATAGTTGATTAGTTGTTTATATAGAAATTATTTTAGTTAGTATTACTTTTAAATTATATCTGGTTTTTGAAAGCTTAGTTTTAGTTGAACTATATATAATTTGGTTTTCACTCTGGCGTTGAAATGTTGAAAGCCATTCTATTTTCTTACGATGCTGTTTATTGAGTCTTGTTGTAACAGAGTCTGCCAATGGGATGACGCTTGCATTAATCCTGCTCAGGATGTCAGGGTTCTAGCTATAGAAATAATTTTCCAATCAGATAATGTTGTTCAATAACGCATAACTTCTTCTCTTAGCAAATCTTATTGCTTTCCTCAAACACAAGTGTCTGACTTTCGGTAGTAAGGTAGGACAATCAGGAGGCAAACATATTCTATAAATTGAAGCAGGAAATAAACCCAGTGAACGGCAATTAATTAACAAGAAAGTCCAGTTTGGAAAAAGTCCTGCATAATTTGAGTAAAATTCATAAATTCACATAGATTTTAAATGCATTAAATCATTTGTATCCATATATTTTGCACTAACTGGATGGATAGATCATAAAAAAATCACACCTTTAAAAAAATCCAGCAAAGAATTTAATAAAATAATAACATTTTTAATCAGCTTCACTGATCTTCTTCAGTTATGATAAAACAGAAAAATAGAACACTTATATAAAAATTTAAAAACGAGAACAAGAATTCTATAATAAACAAATAACAGCAATCATAGTTGAGATTAATAAAAAAATAACTACAGAAATAAAATAGAAATAAAAAATAAAAATAAAAAATAAAAATAAATGATGTGGTTGACAAGTTGCCTGCATCTCTATGGTTGATGCAACTGGATTTTTTGTGAGCTTTATAAATTTCCAATTTTTCTAGATATCCCATAATGTGTATATTAGATGTGGATGATGATGGTTGCTTGCTCCCATTGTACCTGTATGTCTTGACGTTGCAAGTAAACTGCCAGCATCCTATTATTGATATTTTTATCGATTGTGTACTTATGTTTCTTGAGTTGTTGTTGTAAATTACGCATAGTGGCACCCACGTAGACCAGTTTTGATTTTAAATGTTGGTCAATTAAAAATTCTTTACTGGATTTTTTTAAAAGGTGTGATATATATACACAAGTAAAACAGCAAAACCGTATTTGGGACAAGACTATGTCTCGGAGACGGAATCACTTTGATGCTCAAGGCAGGTCTCGTTCTCATTCTCCTATCTTCTTTGATATCGCTGCTGTTGGGTGCAATCGTTAAAACTTTGCCTGCCTCGACCACGAGGTCGTTCACGAGCCATTTTCGGTGAATGTTCTGTCGGTAAAAATTTACTAAGAAACTGATAATTTACTTAATTTGAATCAGCAGAGTGATATTTATAATAGCGTCGATATACAGTCGACCCCCTATAAGATATAGATACGTTCCATTCTTTAGGAATCCGATTTCTTACGAATCCTTCCAATCACAACCCGACACGTGTCAAGTTTACGGACTACGGCTGTTTGAAAGATTTTCTTCCATAAAATTAACATTTTACTGTTTTTTACGGATACCGGTCACAATTTTTTCGTAGTTTTATAGGAATCGTAATTATAGGGACCGTAATTATAGGGGGGTCGACTGTATAATATAAATCCAAGATTGGCATGGGTGTCAAATTGAAAGGTAGTAAAAAGATGTCTCTCCTTGTTAGAGTTTAGGAGCAAAGTGAGGTCAAAGGGCAAAGGTCACGTGCAGGTGCCCTCAGTCCTAAGGTCAGAGTTCACTTAGGGTGCATTTACTTCTGAGTTAGCAGTGCTAATTCTGATAACCGGATGTGACGTTATTAGCACGTGTATTCGTGCTTGCTTGTCCAATTCGAAAGTGAACACATACGCTAACAAGAAATATGGCGGTTTCCAGCCATATTTCTTGTTAGCGTATGTGTTCACTTTCGAATTGGACAAGCAAGCACGAATACACGTGCTAATAACATCACATCCTGTTATCAGAATTAGCACTGCTAACTCAGAAGTAAACGCACCCTTAATGACTGCAGGTGGTACTCTCCCCTCCCTGACTTTGGTGGGGTGAGGTGACTGTTTTGCCTATTTGTAGAAGAGGGTTGCCATTTTGGATTTTATTTTCACTCAATTCTCAGTCCCCTGACTACCTATGAGTCTGGATTTTTTTTGTGCGCAAATGATTTGGACACCTAATACTCTGTGCCAAATATCAACTCTTTACATGTACTCCTTCATACTTCTATGCTAATAAGAACATGAGGCAGTATGATTTTATAAACAAGACATAGTCTTGTCAGTAATGAGCACATTATTTTATATATATATATATATATATATATAATCATTTGAGCATTGTATATATATATATAATNATGAAGTGCATTACCTGGAACACGTTCAGGTAACAGTCGACGTTGATTATAACAGAAGAGGAGCTTTAGAACTGTACTTAATTTCTCCATCAGGTACGAAAAACTACATTCACGAAACGTTTACTTTATAAACCCCACCAGGCTCACCGATTAATAAATAAAAATTTAAAGAAATGATAATTATTACAATGAAGTAACCATTACATCTTTAAATTTTTCAAAAGTCAAGCATCTTTAACAGTACTGTACATCTTAAACTGGGTAAAGTTGGAGAAATGCTTTCTTTAACTTTACTCACTGTTAAAGGTGTATTGCTTACTTTATTAAATTAGTTCAAATTGGTTAAACTAGTTCAACTGTGTCAATATGACAATTATTATATGTGATGTAATTATATATTAACAATATCAATATATAATTACATCACATATCAACTGTGTCAATATGACAATTATTATATGTGATGTAATTATATATTAACAATATCAATATATTGATTTTTTTCTGATTTATATTTGTTCTAATAATCATTAATGTAACAACAATTTTTTATGTTAAAAATATTGCATATAATAATTTTTTTAAAATAAAAATACAGTGCATGTTATAATACAACAACAAAACTTATTTTATACTAAATGCATTAATTAATATGATTAATATTTGTAAAGTGAGATTTTAGTATATAAGTAATTATTAAAAAATTATTATTAAATTAATTAAAAAACAAGGCAATTTAATTTTATTTCTACATCTTGTTTCTTTGCAATTTAGTTGGTTGGTGGTGAATTTGATATGGAACTTAATTTTGTCATCAGGCAGCCACAAAATGTTCTGTACATGTTAGATCTCCTTGATCATTGTCCATCTAATTTGCAGGTATGTTTAATTCTATTATAGCAAATAATATTGTTAAAAAAATGTTTTGTTTCTTTTAATATGAACTTCTATAAACATTGAAAAACTATTTAAATAAAATGTATTTAAAACAATTTTAAATAATTGTTTAATCATTAAAAAATATTAAAATAGCATTAAACAGTTTTATTATGAACTACATTTTGAAAATTTTCTATTTTATATCATAATACATAATTTTATTCCACAGTGATGATTAAGAAGTTTTTGACAAATTGTCAGATTGCAGAATTAAACTGATTTATATTCTGAAAACTGTTTTTCTTGTTCTACAAAATCAAATTATTGCAATTTGTTTAAATCACTTAAAAATCAGTTTCAGTGAGTTCTTTAGGGTTTATTAGAATAAAATTATTGCAAAAAATATTAATGAAATTGACTTCTATAAAATAAAATGATCTTAAGATGTTTTAATTTGTGAATATATAGTAGTATCAATTAGAAAACTATATCATATTCATAAACAATAATTATTATCATATATGTCAGCATATAAGTTGACTTTTTATGCCTGAAAAGAATTTCCATAGAACTATATAGATCAGTGTTTCCCAACGTGAGGCCCACACCTCACGGAGTCAATTGGATTGTTAAGGGGGCAGTTCGAAAATGGACTTGTCCAGAGTTTAAATTAACCATGTAGCTACTGTATATGTTAGGGGGGACATAAGAATTTTAGAAAGGCTTCGGTGGGGATAGCACAAAAAAGGTTGGAAAACACTGATATAGATCAACCAGACTTATACTGTAATGTGAGTGTGAAATGAAAACCTTTACCAATCTATAGGCTTGCATATATGTATTTCAAATGAACTTTCATGGTAATTAAAACAAATAATCATCAAATATTAATTACTATTTAGAATTATCATGTTGTGAAATATGAATATATCAATATCTTTGAAATAAATGTAAAATTAAATTTAAAAATTTTCTTTTAAATTAAATTTAAAAGTATTAAATTTAAATTATAAATTTAATTTAAAAATAATTATTACAATTAAATTTTAAAATGTTGTTTTAAATAAATTCATCAATTACACTTGTTAATGAATTATTTCAAAAAAATGTGAGTAAATTGTAACATTATCAGATAATATAAGGTAAATGTCTTTATTGTTATAAGAATAAAATATTTTAATTTAATGAATGGCAGCCTGACAAATTTTCATGTTTTTATCACAATTTTTTTTCACTGACAGTAAAGAGTTCTTAGAAAACAGATAGTAATTTTCTTATATAAAACTTCATTTAAAAAAATGCAATAAATTTAGTATAATTGTAAGCTTCTTGCCTGTAATGAATTAAATAATTATCACAAACTACCAATTGGTGGCAATATACAAGGCTTAGCAATACAAGCAAACTGTATTGGGGCATTAGAAAATCAAGATTACAACAATAAAAGACTAATTTGTGGAGTGCATTTTGGTCTTCACTCACAATTTAGGAAGAAAAATGAGTGAATCCTGGTTACCAGTTTCACCAAGGGGAGTCACTGAAAAAATTACAAACCTTGCTACATATCAATATTTATTCCGTCGAACTCTGCTGACCCTTTTCCTTACAAAATCTCTGCATTCTGTACACTAACTAAAAGGGCATACACACCACACTAAATGGGAGGATACAATGGCAGAATTGAAGTGCATTGAAAACATAGCAGTAATACATGGGTACAGTAGAGGCATGATACATAACTTATCATTCATGTATGCCAACCTGCTAACTATGTGCCATACTCACAATGCACAGGTAAAGCTCGATGACACTCATAATCACAGCATAAACCAATCATGCATGGTGATGAGATACAACCAGCACCTAAGCTCTATCTATAAAGAGATTGCTACCCATAAAGGCACAAAGATTGCCTATAAGAGACCTAGCACAGTATATGGGCTATTGTGTGATGACAGACAGGACCTAGGAAAGTTGGGCACCAGTTGTCTATGTGACTCCTCTCAGAGACCACAGATTCCAGCATGATCTAGTACACATTGGATCCATAAAGTGCTCACTAAGCAAAAGGATACAGGAACATGAGTATGATATCGCCAACCAAAGGCATACCACCATACTAGCCGCCTATGCCACGGACCTCGAAATACAAGCAGACCTCCATAAGGCCAAATTGATGAAAATGTCAGGTCAGGTTGAGCACCTTCACAACCTGGAAGCATTAAAAATATACAAATCTGGCCTGGCCAAAAACTATATTAATGCAAATGATGCCACTAATATTTTGTATGCATGGACTAATGCCAATACATATCACGGCAAGAAAAACAGTTTGGAATTGGCTTTGCACTAATATTCGGCTACACAGTTACACACAGGAAGATATTGAAAAATGTATTAAAAATAAAATGATTCCAAACAGCTACTGGAATTAATTAATACCTGATATTATTAAAAAATATGAAATTGATAGAACTAGTAATGATATATGCCTTCAACTACACCCAGCAGACATGCACAGCTACGAAATAAGTTTCGATTATAATCCCGAAACAAACAGATACTTTCAGTGGATAGTGTACACAGATGGTTCTAAGCAAGAGTGCGGAGTGGGAGCTGGTGTGTGCATTCAAAACAACAACAATAAGACAATATATCAGGCCAGATTAAAACTTGCTAAACATTGTAGCATTACGCAAGCTGAACTATGGGCCACGTACAAAGCAATCACCCAAATAAAAGATAACTTAAATAAATACAAGGGTAACATAAAATTCCTTATTGACAGTAAGGTGGTTCTTCATGTCTTGGCAAAAACTGAAAACATCACGCTACTGGGCAAAGAAGTTATTAAAGTAGCACAATATCTCAGTACTACCCGCAATATTCAATTCAGTTGGATACCAGCTCATAAAGGTCATAAAGGAAACGAACTGGCCGATTCTTTGGCCAAAATGGCTGGTACTCTCAAGACGCAGGATACATATACCAGGTTACCAAAATCAACACTGAAAAATTCCTTAAACGAATGGGCACTACTTGAATGGCAGGAAAATTGGAATAATTCTACAACGGGGAGACTTTGCCACCAGTTTATTCCCTCTATTACTAATCGCATCAAGGCTAATTACTACAAACCTAGATCCGAAACCACCCAATGTTTAACGGGGCACGGCAATTTTATGGCCTACCTCTACCGCTTTAAGAAGAGAAACACTAATAAATGCCAGTGCGACAATAATAGTGTAGGAGATGCCATTCATTTTATATTCCACTGTGAACGATATGAGGATCAACGCATTCCATTCTATAGGGAATGCCTTCAAGAAGGTCATAATTGGCCACCGACACTACAAAACATTTTTGATAAGAAAACTCTCTGGAAGTGTTTTGAAAGGTTTATTGAAAGCACCAGGGCTCTCCTGCCAGACTTCTACAGGAAAGAAAAAATTCTTGAGAATGAAAACAAGAACAGACAAGATGAGCAGGAAGACAGTGAAAAATCGGAAAAGTGATGTTACCAGCGATTGATTGATCGGCTGTGTAGGATTCTTCTGTACATAGTTTAGTTGTCTAGTATTAGTTTAGTTTTAAATTCTAGATTTAGAAAAAAAAAAAAAAAAAATTTCCATTTATATGTATCGGGTCCTCACTTACCATGTAATCTGTATCATAGTAAGCTGATATTTACATTCTCTCTGCGTGTTAAAATTGTAATCTGTTCTTAATGTTATTGTGACATTACAGTGTTCAAGGTTAGTTTATACCTACCCATAAGTAATGGGTTTTACATTTTACTGTAACTGGACCATTCCTCGTAATTGTTAATACTGTATAACGGTCTTGTCAACTTTTGTAATTTTGGTTATTAATAATTTCCGATGCAGCTCTCTGAGGTCCTAATAACTTTTTTCAGCGTTACTTTTCCCCTTTTCCTTTATACTTCTCCCTTCAGAACCCTTCCTTCAACCCTTTCTTCACTACTTTCTCTTCGTAGTGGACTAAGTTTGCAAAAGCAGACAGCCCTTCCTCCTCCTTTATTATTATTATGCATGGAGGTAGTGCTATGAAACTACTGCAACACTAAAAAAATGAGAGTAACACTAGCATGTAGCTACTGTTTCTATACCATTAATTACATCTTATTAACAAAAAACACTCAAAACACCTTGTAAATGTGCAGCCGTATTTAAATTCATTAAATTCGAACGTTTTCGGTCATATTTAATGACCTTTATCAAGAATAAACAGAAAAAAATCGAACTCTTAGAAAATTTGCATTAACGTTAAATGCTTTTTGGAATGTTTTTAAAAGATATTCTAATGAAATTACCTGCACCATTTCTACAACAGGCTAACATTAACTAAACACAATAAATATTAGCACATTAAAAAATAATATGACATTCAAGATAAACAATGAAAAATATAAAATAAAAATGCAAACAAAGCAGAAGCAAAAAATATAAAGAAATGAGTTAGGCAAATACATTAAACTAAAGGCAGTTGAGTCTGCATAAATTGTCATAGGTATAATTAGACACCGTCAGTTAAGCAGTCAGTTTTCTGTGATCTCTGCTGACTTACATAGGCATTAATGTTAAAAATCTCTGGTTTACTCAACACTATTTAACTTGTCACCACTGGATAAATTGACATATTTTTTCTGTCTCATGCTCGTTTAGACATCTGATAAGTTGACTCCCCTCCTGAAAAAAATGAGTTCACACCACACAGCTTAACATCACAGCAGAATCCGATTTTACATTGTCTCACCGTTCATTCATGCATTATTTGCAGCAAGTATTTCACATTTCTGTTAGAAATGAATATCTGAAACCTAACAATGCTTACGCTAAAGGAAAAATACAAACTTATATCTGAATTTGAATGCAATAAAACTTTGCAAGCTGAATTTGCAAAACAAGAAAACCTTCCAAGAACAACTTGGTGGGAATTCTGAAGAAAAAAGAGGAAATTAAAAGACTTTTTCTTGTGTC